GTGTCCTTCTACCCCCTGGAGGGTGGGCTCAGGAAACAATGTGGAAACTTGGTGGTGGACATGGGTCTGAGGGAAACATTTTCAGTGTGCTCACAGCTTCCCAGAAAGATGCAGATTCAAAAGAAGCATCCGAGAAGGTGGGCTGCAGCCTGTGGAGGCTGGCAGCCCAGGCAGAGCAGCAGACTGGCCCCAGCAGCACCCTCACCCATCCAGCAGCACCATCACGACCTCCATCCATCAATTCTCTCTTCCTTCTGCAGGACAGCCATTGGCTCCCCGAGTTCTGGATTCTGGGCCCTGTGATGCAGATACTGGGAGGGAACAGCTGAACGACCAATCAGAGAGCCAGCAGGCAGCCCATTAGGAAAGGCTGATAAACAGATCCGGAAAGGGAGGGGAAAGGAATTCTAGCATGAGGGAGAGGGCAGTTTAAGACCTAATGCTAGCCACAGGTATGCATCCTAAATTCAGGGCCAAGTGCAAATTAAATGAGAAGTAAAACATTCTTACTGACAGCCGCAGCAGAAGGGAACTGCTGGCTGGCGAAGCAGAAAGAGGCTGTATTTCCACTTCTTATTTAGATATTGAGATGCAGATGCTAAATTCTACTCAGTTAATAAATAACTGCCCCCTCTGAGAGTCTGTGTCTTCCCAAGAAAAATGATAATAGAAATTCAAGTACCTGGAGATCCCAGAACTCAGCTGGCAACCCCACACCCTAACTCTAAGCAACCCTATCTCTAACCCAGCTCTAACCCTCAACCTGACCAAGAAAACCAAGTATCTCCATGAGAACCTCGAACTCAGGTCCCGGGGGACAATGTCCATGACGACTCCCTAATACCCTTTCACACAGCGGTGACGAGAATCTACGCTTCATTCAGTTGTCCTGGGGCTTGAAGAAAGAAAAACTCCACAAAGCAGGGACCATCCCAGGTCTAGCCCTCAGGCAGGCCATGAGCTCAATTCCTTCTATCTCAAGGCTCCTAGAGAACGGAATATAGAGGCAGCAAGATCTCATACAGAGTCATCTCTAGAGGAAGGAGTGAAGGCAAGAGGAAGAGGGAAATGGGAGGGGAGAGAGAAGGTGCCAAGGAAAGAGCAGAGATGCTCCCCAGCCAGACCCCCTGAGCTCCAGGCTCAGCCTCACGCCATCCGGGCCTCTCGGATGAGGCGGAATAGAGGAGGTGGATTGAGGGAATTCTGTTGTAACACCTTCGGCAAGTTGATCCAGAAGAACCAGGGAGGGACACACATACAAGAACAACCTGCCCTTCTATGGATGAGGTGGTGCCATGTTTGAAATCAGCTGCCTAGCTACAGTGAACCAGCCACCGCAGAGTGTCCTTGAGGTGCTGTGACATCAGAGTGACCATCAGCATTCAGTGAGGGCCGACCCAAGACTGGACACCCACTGTACCAAAAGCTGAATCTGAATTTCCAAGGACTCTACGAACCAAAGAGTATCATCATCTTGATTTTACTGCAAAAGGGGGCACAGAAAGATCAGAATCTTGTCCAGAGCCACACATTGGAACTGCAGAGCCCGCCCCTTCTGTTTTTGAGAAGTGGACAAGCTTCCCTGACGGGACGTGGGCCCAGTCTTCACATTGATGATGCATGGGTTCTCTCCTGTCCCCTCCCAGCTCCAAGAGTGGGGAGTTCAGAAGGTAAGAAGGAAGAGAGGTGGGCACAGGCACAGCTGGCCTCCTGGCGTGTCCTTGCTCAGCGTATTTCAATTTCCTTTGCCTCATTTTCTTCATCTTTAAAATGAGGGTATTTACTCCTGCTTCATAATATGATCTAAAAACTTAATGACAAATGCTAAAATGAACCACTCGGGGCCTGCGTATGGTAGCACACCTGTTTGCCTTCTAGAATTTTGGCCATGAGATTCATCTGAGGATGTGGGTGATCCTTCTATTTCAGCAATTTTAGAAATATCCTTTATCTTTCAAATATGTTTTTTTATTCATCATAGAACTGGGGGATTGAAGCCAGGGCCCCGACTAAGCTAGTTAAGCACTCTGCACCTGAGCTACATCTCCAGTCCTGAAACACCCTATATTTTTAACATGAGAATTGCATATAGTCAAATTGTACCACATGATGTTTTAATGTACATAGTATAATGTGATGGTCTTTACAGTCTAGCTAATTAAGGCATCCACCTCCACATCATTACACTCTTTCTGCCCTTCCTTCTCCTTCCTTTCCTCTCTCCTTCTCTCCCTCTCTCCTTCCCCTCCTTCCTTTAATGCACATAGTCAAGTCTCCTGAAATCTGCTCTCTTTGCAAATTTCCAGTATACAATATAGTATTGGCCGACATTTTAAAGCTATGTGGGTTTTGTCTCTGTCCCCTTTGCCTACCATTGAGGGTGTGTTCTGGTGAATTAGAATCAGAACCTGCAATTTCAGCCAGAGGAAGAAATAGTGGAATAAAAGACCTGGCCAATCAGACTCATTGATGCTTGGCCCACTCTAGAAGGCAGCCCTTAGGGGATAAAGATCTGGAGAGCTGTCACATATAAGCCACAATCACTGGCCACCTTCGGGATGACTCAGACTTCCTGCTGAAAGAGCACAGTACTGATTGCTGGCCTTGGGCAGGCTCACTGCTCAATGAAAGGGTGAGTTCAAGGCCCTTAGCTCAAAATACCATTGGATGGCCGAAAGTACCAGTTGCTTCAAGCTGCTTTCTAAATCTGGACCTAGGGCCTCTCTGGTTTCACTTAGAGACCCAGCAGCGCCCAGCACACACTTAATACCCACTGTGCTGTGGCTGCCCACAGAGTGACATGTGGGCAGCCTCACCAGAGCCAAACCTACAGCAGCCTCGTCTGGCAAAGGTCACAGCAGTGCCCTCTGCCGATACTCCGGTCACTCAAAAATCCCCATTTTATTTTGAAAATCTCATTCTTTAGACATGTCTGGGCCAGAGCCATTAAACTTTGACAAATGCTGCTGGCCATGAATTGACAACCTGAACCCAGACGGTGGAGGTAAAAGCCAGAGAAAAACTCAGGGTCAAGTCTGATTCTCAAACTCCAGGGCAGCTGAATCAAGCGCTCGCCTTGGTAATTAATGAAGACTATTTCTTGGCAAGAACTCCTGCAGATCATATGATTGTGCTCCGGATGGAGAAACAGTGTGTTCTGTGAAAATCAAGGAGGTGGCAGTCAATACACTGCCTATGAAGTGCAAGCTGATAAAGGCTTTCTGGAAATTCTTGGCAGCTGTGGTGTAAGGCATAAAATTAAGTTCAATGTCACGTGCTACCTTGGTATTTGGGAAAATCAGGAGGCCCTCAAACAGCCCAACTGCAAGCCCTCCCCCTCCTCCCAACACACACAGCCCAGTGGATAATGTCCCCCAGTGATAAAAGCCTTTTTACCAAGGAGTCCAGGCACAGTTCCTGCTCATCTCCAACGAGCAGGATTCAGTTCCCTGGCAGTCAGCAAAACCATCCAAATAACCCAGTCATCTGTGAAGAACCAGGCTTACCCCATCCTCCTGCCTGCCCACCCCAGCCCTTGCTGCTTGCTTCTCGTTGAGGGCAGCCCTGTGGGGCCCTGAATGGTGTGTCGTGTCCTCCCGCTCTGGGCTCTGAGCATGTGTGACTCATCAACCACCATCAATCTCATCTGCCCAGTGTCGGGTGTCATGCATTTGGCCATCTCCATAACCCTCGGCTGAGAATCTCTCATTTACCAATGAGGTGAGTGGGAGGTGAGTCAAACAACCACATGTTTCAAAATTTTAAATGCATACACTGCTCAACCTGGGAATTTCCTTTCTAAGAGACTATCCTATAAACAGTCTCAGTGAAGCAAAAAGAGAAATATGCAGAAACAAGAATATTCATTGCCACATTGTATATAAGAGCAAAAAGTTGAAAATAACCGAAATAACCATTCACTGAGGAGATTAAATTATCGTAAACATAATCTGTGACATACTTCCCAACAGCTGAAAAGACAAAGAATTTCAAGACTTCTTCTATCTAAGCAATACATCTAATATAATCTGCCCGGTCTTTGTTAAAATATGAATCCCCAACTAAAGGCAGGGAGGGAGAGGACAAGATGGATAAAAGTAGTAGCTTTTTGCATGGCGAGTGAGAGAGGGCGAGTGGAACCTTTGGTGATTTATGCTACACCGCTTTATTTTTTGTTGTAGCTATTTGCTTTTCATTTTTTTTTGCAGTTCTTTTGAGATGAGGTCTTGCTAATTGCCCAGGATGGTCTCAAACGCTCAGGTTCACAGATCCTCCTGCCTCTGTGTCACATCAAGCTAGGACCACAGGGGCATGGCACTCCACCCAGCTGTGCTCCCCAGTTTTGTACAGTTTGACTCTTCATTGATAAAATTAATTCTAGTTTGACTTATGTGCTGGTATAGAGACTTGAAAGTAAGTTGCACCTGATAAAAAAAAAAACTTGCACCTGATCCAGCTTGCAGCGATTATGAAGAAACTGAACATGGAGAACCACCTACAGTGGGATATTCCAGCCCCTCAGCCCACTGACATCTCCTGAGCCTTAGTGCTAATGTTAATCTAGAGGCTTCCTCAGAAGAAATCTCTCATTCCCATTTTCCATGTACCATGGTAATTGGGCGATGATACACAAAGCCCACCCATTTTTATAAATCTTCTCCATTCTCTCCCCATCTTATCTTTGACGTCACTTCATCTCATGCAGCATGTTTTTTTTTTTTTTAAAGCATGCAAAGGGAAGGAATGGAAGCGAGATGTGATAAATGAAAAATAACTCTCTCTCTCTATAATCCAGGCCACCCTTTTCGCCCGTGTGAAGACCCAGTGCCAGTGTGCAGTCAGGTGCAGGGCGCAGATCCTAAGGAAGGCCACTGGATTGGGGGCAATGCTGTGCGCACCGGGGTCTGCCCATTCCTGGCAGAGGCCCAGACTCAGGCCTCCTCTTTCGCCCTGAGGACAGCCTCCTGCCCGAGCCCCACTGACCCCCTCGGACGTCTCACCACGCTGATGCCGTCGTTGAGAAGGGCCTCCCCGAAGATGATCATGTAGAGCTGCTCGTTGACCCGCGCCTCCTCGAACACGGCCAGCACGGCCGCGGGGTCCACGGCGGACAGGAGGCTGCCGAAGAGCAGGGTCTCCAGCAGGCTGAGGTCGCCGAGGCCGAAGGCCCCGACCCGGCACACCAGGTAGAGCGACAGGCCGATGCCCAGCGCGTTGACCAGGGCCCCCAGGCCGGCCCACCACAGGATGGAGCCGATGTTCTCCAAGAAGGGCCGCGTGGGCATGAAGTAGCCGCTCTCCAGCACGATGGGCGGGAGCAGGTAGAGGAAGTAGATGCTGGAGTCCATGACCGGGGGCGACTTGTGGTCGGTGCCGAAGATGATGCCGCCCACCAGGGCGCCCACGAGGATGAGCAGGCAGCTTTCAGGCATGAGGCCCGGCAGCCGGCGGCAAAGGTGGAAACCTGCGGAAGCGCAGAGGAGCGCGTTTGGAAATTGCTCATGCAACGGGGAAAGCCAAGCGGACAGCACCTGGGGCCAGCTGGCTGGCTTCTCCAGCCTCAGTTTCCCATCCGTGGCCCGGACGGGGAGTGCGGCCAGGGCGGCGACTTTGGGTTTCTGCAGCGCTGGGAATCAGACCCAGGGCCCTTGCACCTGCTAGGCCAGCCCCCCACCACTGAGCTGTGTTCCTCGCCCAGGATGCCCAGACTGTGCACTCACAGATGCAGTTTCTGCCTCTGGCTCATGCAAAATCAGACCTACTCCCCTGGACTGTTTTCAGCTTTTCCCATCTTACTACATTCCCCTCTGCACTCAACAAACAGGCAGCCATTAAAAGTTGCTGATTTTTGTCTCCTCTATTCAGCCAGTGACATGGCTTCCTGATCAGACGCTGAAGAGGGAAATCGGGTCACGTTCTCATGAATCCCTCCTCATCACCTTTGACCCTTCATGCCACCAGCCCTGAATTCCTCCAGTCCCTCTATGGAGGGAGAAGTCCACCTTCTCCTCTCCATTTCCATAGCCGCTGTCTTTATTGAAGACTTCCTAATTCCTCATCTTAAATATTGCATCTTTCTTCTCACCTCCTGCTGTACTTTTAACCTTGAATGTCCCCCAGTGTCCTGAGTGTTTTGGTCCCCAGGGAGGTGATATTGTGAGATGATAAAACCTTTAAGAGGTAGGGCCTAGTGGGGGGGGGGCTCCAGGTCAATGGGAACATGCTCTCAAAAGGGATTGTGAGACCCCTGCCCCTTACTCCTCTCTCTTTTGTTTCCCAGTGAGCAAGTCTGCACTGCTGCATACTTTCACCACAAGTCCAAAAGCAAAGGAGCCAATTCCTCATGGGCTGGAACCTCCAAAACCCTGAGGCAAAATAAACCTTTCCTCTTTATAAGTGAATTATCTTAGGTATTTTGTCATAGTCAGAGAAAGGGGACAATTACAGCTCCATTCTCAACCTCAGTCCCCCAACTGATTGCACAGTCTCCAGCCAGATGAGTTTTTTACACCATATGTATCAGATTATCTCATTCCCCACCTAAAACCCAGAAGACGCAACAATAGACCAACAATATTGGTTGAGCGTCCCTCTGTGCTAAGTACTGTGAAGCAGAAAACTAAAGATGTAATGATGGACAACACAGCTCCCACTGAGGATGAAATTTTAGAAGTAAGACCCAGGTTAGAAGACAGAAGTAATGGTCTGTATTACGGGGCGTTATGGCACTTGCCTGTAATACTGACGACTTGGGAGCTGAGGCAGGAGGAGCACAAGTTCAAGGTCAGTCTTAGCAATTTAATGAGAGTCTCAGCAACTTAACAAGACACTTAAAAGGACAGGGGATGTAAGTCAGTGGTCAAGTGCCCCTGGGTTAAATCCTCAGTACAAAGAGAAAAAAGAAGAAGAAAAAGAAGTAATAAGATGAATAAATGTACAATTAGCTGCATTTTGAACGTAGCAACAAATATAGTAAAAGGTCAGAGGTCAGTGGGTATTCATGGGGACCTGTCCAAGTCTGCCTGCACACAGCTGACCCCACCTTTGTACGTTCCCCATGTCAGCCAACCAGATTCCTTTCCACTGTGCAGTCTCCTGTCTTCTTATCCTACTATCACTGCTTGAATTATCCTTTTCTTGGTCTGTTGGGGTCCTGCTCAGACTTTGAGGCTAAGCTTCCTCCTGGAGAAATAATATATCTTTCTCTGAATTATCAAAAAAAAATGATCTGTACTCTCCCTGTCTGATAGCCATGGTCGCTTTCTACATTTCTTTTTTTTGCACAACTTCTGTGCCCTACTCACCTGTACTCTCCTCAGACTCAGGCAGAATGATTTATCTCTCTCCAAGTGCCTAGCAAAGCGCCTTGTCTACACAGCTGGCCTATTTGCTGAAAGAATCTGTAGGTATACAAATGAATGAGTTCGCATCATCATGGATGCTGTGACGTGGGACAAGATGGAAGGGGTTGTGGCAGTGGATGGCAGAATGAGAGACATTTTAGGTGGAGAGGACTCCAGGGCAGAAGAGAGGCAGATATTTTCGACCTTCATCGAGGACTTCCACCTGACTGGAGCAAATTTTGAATCGGGAAGAATATTAGAAAAAGAGAAGGTCATTTTGTGCCGAATAATAGAGGGGCTTGAGTTCAAAATTAAGGGAGCGAGAATTCCTCCCAGGGGCCATCGGGAGCCAATAAAGGTCTCCTCAGGGATATTTTGGAGGATATGGGTCCCTCCTCTATGCAGACAGGGTGGTACAACGGAGTATAACCCCATCAATGGACGTGACACCGACTCCCACCTCCATTGCACTAGCTTCAAGGCTAGCTTCGGGCTCCCTTTTAGAGTCATGGATTCTCTATTTCTCAATTACAACTTTATCAGCCTCTCTCTCTCTCTCTCTCTCTCTCTCTCTCCTTTCTTTATAGTTATTTTAATCAAACTCAACTTTTCTTGACATAAGAAGATGGAAAAGCCCAGAGTGTGATCCTCTAAGGTTCTGTGGGTTCCTAGGTTGGCCCTGCTTCCAGGAATCAAGTTTTCCAAAAGAGACCCAGCAGGCACCTGCCAAGCTGCACCTTCCTGTTGGACACTGCCTACCCATAAGTCAGGCTTCCTAAAGGGACGCGTTATAGGCATCCCGTGTTCTAAAATGCTTCCCGCCTTTCATGAGGGACAACAGTTAGTCACCTTGAAATCCATCACGAATCTATAATCCTATCCTTACAAATGGTTCAAGGAAGATTCTTCAGTGATGTTTCCAAAAGTTGTAGTAAAATAAAAGACAAAGTCTGAGGTGATGTTCTTGTTTTTGTTTTTGTTTTCATTGTTGTCTTTGTTCTGGAATATCCTTGCTTTACAAATGCATAATTGGTTATTTGAAAAGGAATTGGAAAGCGTTTTGTGTTTTTCTTCTGGAATGTCTACCAGTCAGTTGTAGGTTAACCTGTCCTCCTCCTTAAATCAAAAGGCCCTTGAGCAATGACCAAGAATGCAACGCAAATAACAAGAAATGTTGGTAAGGAGGTGAGAAAAGGGGGATACTCAGACATTGCTGATGGGTCTTCAAATTGGTGCAACCACTCTGGAAAGCAGTATAGAAAGTCCTCAAAAACCTAGGAATGGAACCCTATTTGTCCCAGCTATCCCACTCTTTGGTATGTATCCAAAGGAGTTAAAATAAGCATACTACAGTGAGCTGGCCACATGGATATTTATAGCAGCTCAATTCACAATAGCTAAGCTATTTATTTATATGGAACCAACCTAGGTGCCCTTCAACAGATGAATGGATAAAGAAAATGGGGGTGTATATACACAATGGAGTATTACTCAGCCATTAAGAAGAATGACTTTATAGTATTTGCCAGTAAAAGAACAGATCTGGAGACTATCAAGCTAAGTGAAATAAGCCAATCCCCCGGAACCAAACATGGAGTGTTTTCTTTGATATATGGAAGCTAACTCACAATAAGGGGGTGGGAAGGGAAGAATAGAGGTTCAGTAGATTAGACAAAGGAGAATGGAGGGAAGGGAGAGAGAGAGGAACAGGGAAGACAATAGAATGAATCTGACATAACTTTCCTATGTACACACATGAGAACACCACCGTGAATCTCACCATGGTGTACATCCACAAGAATAGGGTTCTAATTAGAATAAGATATATTCCATGCTCACATAATTATGTCAAAATGCATTACCCTGTCACGAAAAACTAAAAAGAACCCCAAAAACTTAAATGAGGGAGTAAGAACAATAATTTGGAGGCAAAGGAAGCAAAATTACTTGAAAATCTCTGGATAACATAGGTACGAAGGCTAAATGAACCCACATGTAAGTGGATGTAATTTTCCAGTTTGAGTCAAAGATGGAAAACCACTTATTTGATATTTTTTCACATATGGAAATATAACTCATAAAATATTTTAAATATAAAAATGGAGTCTTTTCAGAGACAAATTTTAAGCATTTCCTTCAAGTTTTGGTCTGCATGAATATGTGTATGAGCGTGTGAAAATCAAAGACATGTTATAAAGTTGAAATGATACTCTCAATAGAATGTCACATCTCACCTATGTCAATAAAAATAATACATAGGCTTTCCCCGTTATTAAATGTTCTTTTTAGTATTCTTACTTTTAGTTATAGGTCAACACAATATCGTTATTTTATTTTTATGTGGTCAAAGCCAGTGCCCCATGCATGCTAGGCAAGCACTCTACTTCTGGGCCACAACCCAACCCCTATTAAGTGGACTTTGAAAAATAAAGGCCCTTGAGGTCAGGAACCATGGTCATTTCCATGCATTGCCTATATTCAGGTTTTATAATATAATCTCAAAAAGGTCATATGCATCCTTACATGTTAAAGTTTTACAAATCATCAGTATTATTACTATCATTGCCATTATTTTGCCTTTGGTAAGTGAACCATCTTACATAAAACTTCCAACCCAGTACTTGGCACATGGTATGCATTCAGTAAATATGCCTTTTCTTCTCACCCCCATATCCATATGGAACACAGAAATTATCTAGATTCTTGAAGACTAGAAGACATGAAATCATACTCGAATAAGCATGTTCAAGCTGACAACCTATTTAAGCAATTTTCTCTTTCTAAACTATGTTGAATGGCGTTAACATGAGAATAAGTGCATTTAGATCAGCAGTTCCACAGACAAGAGTGTCCTCTGAGTTCTCTTAAATTTTAACCATAGTGAGTCTGAGCCACACCTCGAAGGGACAAGCGAGGCTTTAGGTTAACATGAAACTAAGATGAAACGCACCCTTTCTGCATTGATTGATCTTCTGACGGACAAAGTGACCAACTAGTCAAGGACAGAACTAGTCTCCTGATTCCCGGACCAATGGCAACCATTGATAAAGGGAGGCTAAAGTGGGGGACGAGACGGACCGTGGAGGCCAAGAATCTTCAGCCTGTTTACAGAGGGAACACTCTATTATCTCCCAAGACCACCCTGAACATTTTCATTGTCAACATGGCTTTCATAAAGGTGTTAGACTCTTTGCTCTGAACTGAGGACGATATCCATGTGGAAAGCCATTTTTACTTGAACAGGTCTCTAAAATAACGTGAGACACCTAATGAATTGCAAGGGAGCTCTTTAAACTAACACTCCCCTTCCAATCTTCATGCTCTATTAGTTCAAAATGAGTAAAAGTCATAAAGAAGCTCCTAGTGAGCACACCTGTGCCCCAAGCCATCAGGAGGGAGTTAGATTAACAGATAAAAGCCCACCAAATTTCAATGCAGACCACGTGTGGCTCAAACCCACATTTCAAATCCGTCTTAGAGACAATGTATATACATATAAATGGGCATCAAAATGTTCTAGAGATTCTATCTCAATCAGGCAATCTACCTACTCAAATAATGCAAAGTTTAGAGTTGAGACAAAGGAGATATTATGCTTAGGAATTGAGATGATCATATTGATTTTCCACTTTGGAATAAGCTAATGTTCTAAGGAACAGGAGAGTGCAATTAAGGATTAAATAGTAGAAAAGTGGAAAGTACCCCTTGCTTTTTTTTTTTTTGGTATACATACACACGCACACATGCACACACACAAATACCATGGCAGGAATTTAATCCTGTCATTTAAAAAAAAATCACTTTATTTCACAAAGGAGGGCATTGGCTCCATTTGACTTAGATGTAAATCAATATTTTACCAACAGATATCATCTAATTTGGCCCGATATCCTATCTCTGAGGGACACAAGAGTTGCCTGTGATTGTCTTGCGCCTTGTTTCTGTCAAGTTCCAAGGAACACGCACCACTTGTAAAGAATAGACAATGGAAGCCATTAATGAATTCAACCATTTTGTGGTGGAGAATGAAGGAAGACTAGTTCACAGAAGAAACATTATGTGGTTCCCGAAATTTCCAACCTGCTTCACTCCAAGGTCTTAATTTTATGAAGCATATGGAGACTTTTACATGACAATGTCCCAACAGTGTCACCTGAAATGAGAAGAAACCAAAGGAACCCAGGACCTCACCGTCGTCTCTTAAATTTTAAAGCACAATCCTGAAGCACTGAGCAGCTTTGTTAAAAATAAATCAAGAACTTGCGACTTACCCTTGACTTGTGGGAAGAGAATTTTTGTTTAATCACAGTTAACATTTGAAGTCCGCTTAGCCCTCCATCTATCAGGCATATCCACATAAGGTTATCTCATGTGAGAAACAACTTCTAAAACCAGCTGTTTGAGGACTTACCTATTTTTGCAAGAGATGCCAGAAGTATCCAGAGGGTGACCTCATAAGGAATTTGCACATAATCATAATCCAGTTCGAAAACAGATATCCTTTCATCTGGCACCGAGCTGGAAGCAGCAAACCAAGCCTTAGGTGCATGCTGAGCAGGGGAATCTGCAGATTCATTCAAATCAGAAGATGCTTCAGAGCCTACAAGGGCCACGAGCAATAACCACCGGCTGCAAGGACTAAAAGGCACGAATGTCTTGAGATCCATTCCGTGGGCTTCTGCTACACACCCTGGTGCAGATGTGTGCCACACATCTGCCTGCCGTGGAGAGGACTTCTAGGGAAGAGCTGTATTCATCTGGCTCAAGGTGACAGACACATAGTCCGTAGGACCATCCAAGAGAGTCCCAGTATGTTGTTGAGGCTGTGTGTGGAAGATTTCTACTGTTTTTTTTTTTTTTAATGCTTCTATTTGGGCAATTCAGCTTCAGACGCAAACACAGTCATGCAAAGAACTCATGAAAGCCCCAGGAGCTACCTGTAGAACCTTCATTCAATCGTAACCTGAAGAGCAATTTATAAAGGGGGAAAAAAACCTCCTCTTCAGAGCCGTTGTTTCCTCCCTCCACGGCAGGCAGGTTTCATCTTGAGAGTGAAAATCGAAAAGGACACCACAGTGCTCATTCCATGTGCCACCAAAGTCCTTTTAATGAGGAAGGGAATCCTTGCCGCTCTGTGGCATCCCAGGAAGGAGCTACCTGTCCTGCCCCTGCTCCTGCTTTCCTCCCCTTGCTACTCTCTCACTGGTTCTGAATGGTCAGGGCAGGTAGTTCTTGAAACACACTTAATTATTTGCTCTGATTTGACTTTTGTAATGAAATGTTTGCTCTGAGTGTTCGCCACAGGTTACACTGCTGCCACCTAGTGGGCGCCCACGATGAGGCACCCTTGGCAAGTTCAGGTGTGAAGCAGAAATGTCCTGGGAAACGGGGTCTGACAGTCTCTATAAAAGAGGAAGGAAGAGGAGGAGTGGTGGCACTGGCTAGGATGACCTTGGCAGAGTGTACTACCAGACTTTGCGACGAAGACTTCCTAGGAGTGAAACTTCAGCTCTCCTGGAATTTACAAAGAGTTTCTCAGAGAAAAACAAACCAAATAACAGCTTCCACCGGTGCCTACAAATTCTCTTCCATCTTAAGGAATTCTCTTATTGGGGTCCATGTGTTGAAAAGTTGTGTCACAGAATGTTTGTGAAAGAATTGATTCTGGGGTGAATCTTAGGAATCCCTTTGTAGCTCTCTAACCTCTGGCCAAGTGAACTTGGCCAAGTGACTTCATTTGAAAAGAGAGAGGATAAGGCTGTTCATCTCACTGCGCAGCTACGGGCACTAAATGAGATGGTGTGGAGTTGGCACTTAATAAATGTCGGTTTTCACTATTTGACATCACATCTCTCGTTCTCATAGAAGATCAAATTGACAGGGTTGCAATAAAGAACATCACTGAATAGGAAAGGAGAATTATTCTTCATCATTAACATCACTGCTTCTGCATCAAGCTGCACAGGGATTTCTGGTTTTTTTCTAGTTTTTCTCATCCTTCCAGCCGATGAGCCCACTACTGCCTGTATTCAGCAAAGATCCTTAGGAAACTGAGGAAGGATTGGTTGTGATCCCAACACCAGGTCACAACTTCAAAATAAGATAGGAGAATAACGAGCTCACAAGTGGACGTTTTCTCTTTTCCTCGCTGTTAGACTCCATGTGGCTAAAATAAATCATCAGGTGTATTACAAGAAGGATATCATAATGAGTCCACTGTTTTTACTCAGAAGATATACACAAATGGCTTCGTAATAGAAAGCTTATTTATAATAGTTTTTTTTTTAATTTTGGTATTGGGATTGAACCCACAGAGGCTTCACCACTGAACCCCATTTTTTTAATCTTATTTTTCAGTTTGAGATAGAGCCTCGCTAAGTTGCTGAGGCTGGCGTTGAACTTGTGATCCTCCTGCCTCTGCCTCCCAAGTTTCTGGCATTTAATAGGCATGCGCCACTCTGCCGACTTCAGCGTCTTATTTTTATTTGCATTTTTATTGTTTTTTTTCTTCTATAAAGAAATGAGGGGGAGAATTGTTAAATACAGAAGAGACTATTCAGTCTCTGCTAATTGTCCTCAGGACACACCACAGTATCTGTAAGATCTGCGTCTTGGCACAGGTGTGTGGCTCGGCACCTTCTCTCCCCACCCCTCAGTTCGGTGTGAGGCAAGCTCTTCTCTGGGTGGGCACATCCAAGATTGAGGACTCCCTCTAATACCCAGGATGGGGTACAGTTTCTACCCAGACGAGTCAGGCTGTCAGTACATGTTACCCAAACTGGCCCTGTCCCACCCCAGCCAGTGTCACTCAAGGTCTCTTGCAGGCAGGTGTGACTGAGAGATCCCTTCTTCCTTCCAGCCCTACTCATACAACTGAGCTTTAACCCCAGATGCAGAGGCCCAGGAATATGGGGCCCCAATTTCTCTCATCCAGCTTGCTCAGGGAACTGACTTCCCTACCAGGAAGAACCAGCCAAGAAGACTAGGTAACCAGGGACCACTAGCCCTGCCCAGCACCTCACTCATAATGCAGAGCATCACTCTAAGAACGGCAGGTGGCTGACGCTGTTCTCAACTCCCAGGTGGAGAAACAGGGTCTGCAAAAGAGGGAAGCAAATCCTAGAACCGAGAGCCCTTCAGCTGTCTCTAAGGAGACAAAAGTTTTATTTGAGACTTTGTGTCGGGACCTTCAAACCTAGGGTCACTGTCCAAAACTATGGAGATTTGGGTTGTGAGCCAGCAGGAAGAGCTAGGAGCTCCATGATAGCTGGAGAAAGGGTAGACCATTAGGAACTTTAAGAAGAACCCTCCTGAGGTCAGAGCAAGCCTCAAAGACTGGCCTCCAAACTCAGCCTGGGAAAGGAATGGAACCGACTTCAACTGATCAGATCCTGGAGGAATTTATAGCCCAAGGCAGTGGTGAGAACAAGAGGCTGAGCTGAGTAAAAATTGCAGACCCTTTGGCAGCTGAAAGGATGATCAGTGGGAAAAAAAAATCAAATAAAAGGCTGTCACCCTGGAGAAGAGAAGGAAAGATATTATGAAAAATCCAGTTTGGTCTGGTGATATCAAGGCTGTAAATGGCATAGATTTTACTAAAATCAGGCAGCCAAGTCACTAAACAGTCAAACAAGCAAATACCAAGCTCTGGAGTTGGAGAAGAGGGAAGGAGTCCGTATCAAGAACTGCCCAATGTCCAAAGCTCATCCAAAATGTCCGGTTTTTAAAAACAACGAAAATGAGACTACACACTGCCCACAGATCATCATCTCCAAACAAACGAGTAGATTAAGAATAAAAGAACAGAAAAGATACCATGGAAACATTGTGGAAAGACCCGGGAATAACTTACAAATAACTAACAAAATAGTCTGAAATAGCCAATGTTTCTGGCGGGAGATTTAGGAAATGAAAAGGGTCTACCTGTGACAGAGGTGAATGGTGAGAACATAAGGTTAAGAGAGTAATTCCATCACATGGGCCCACTCTACTGACTCCTTCGTGCTCTCCTTGTCAAAAAACAATTTACTTGCAGCCCTGCCTGGCCTCAGTGGACAGGACATGCCACATTCCTCAGCAAACTACCTGTTATCTGTAAAAAGCAAGGCAGGCAGAAAACTATGCTGATAAGAGGAACCCAAGTTAATTTTGTGTGACCCTTTCCACAGACCAGATTCCAGAAGATAAAGATAACTCCTCCTAAAGATAAAAATCTGTAAGAAGGTGTGGTTAAGAATCCAATTAGAGTGGGTGAGCACGGGCCCAAGTGGCACAGTTGTCATGGCAGTGTGACTTGAAAGTTTGATGTCAACCTACCCGTCAGTCAAAAGGTGGACCTGGGCGGGATTCTCTGGAAACTTCTCTGGGATTCCCAATAAAACTGAAGGGCAGGTGAGAAACTCATGTGACTCCATTTTTAAAAATAAATACATAACAGCAGCTTCTACCTCAAGGCCTGTCCTAAGGAAGGGGACGTGACCCTTGTCCTTGGAAAAACCCACAGAGCACTCCTAAGCACACACCCACCTG